TAGTCACGTAAAAATCTACCAAAAACCGAGTTAAAATGTTGCATTTTTTAGTGAAATACATAGTTAAGTACAGACTAACGTAACATTAACGTGGAATTGCCAAAATGTATAATATCAAAGACATATTACAGCGCTTTTCACTGACAATACACACAATATTTCACGAATCACTTTAACTTTCTCTTCAATGCTTAAAACTTTCCTTTTCATTGCCATGTTTTCGCTACTGCACTTCTCTGGGTTTAGGCAGGAACACTATAGGGTAAGTAGACAATGTGAGGTCCTGTTAGACGAGATTCTAGGAAAGGAATGCAGTTAACAACCTGCCGCGTCCTCTTGCACTATTCACGCAGTCCCACCCCACACCCTTGTTTTCGCATAAAACCCACGCTCCTCTTGCAGCTCGCGGTCGTATTCTTCCAGGACAGTCATGTCAGCAAGTAGAGAAAGTGAGGGTGGGCAGACACATCGAACTTTCCCACGATATCAGAGAAATTCAGGAATGAAAATGACGTTACATACGAGGTTGATGCATTTGTGCATGTCGTACTAAGCAAGGTATAAAAACAGTTGCTTTATGAGGAATTAGTTCGTACCATTGAATATTTGATGCAATAGACAAGGTGTCGCAGAAACCGATGTTGCTATAACCAAGTTTTACTGTATAATTATTTAGAAGAAACAAAAGACATAGTTTTGTTACTGTAGAGGATAGTGTGATCCATGCACATTTAGACTATATCATCACTGCCATTCAAACACAGCTTATGAAAATTGCGTCATTAATTAAGGAAAGGCGAGAGAAGTGCATCTGTAATTAATCTACACATTGCATTAATAAAGCAATTTTACGCTCAAGAATGAATGAGTTTGACCATATCAGTGAATTGAATTGTCAAAACAGGACAGCTAATCAGAGTTAATAACCCAGGCTAGCATATATGTAGCCAAACTTAACACAATCAACTGTGTTTTTGTACTGAATTTGGCACAAATGAAGTTCAGTGTATATATTCAGCAGTTATGTTTTCACACTGGAATTGATGTTACAGATTGCATTGTTTAGTTGTTTGATGCTGATGCTGATACTGATTTTATGCAGTACCCTTCTCCGATCATGGAGGTTATGTACTTGACAGTGTTTGTGGTAGGAGAAGCAGTGATTGTTGAATACTAATCTATGAGGAATATGGGAATGGATAATCAGTGGCTGTGATTACATTCATTAGAGCCTAAGTTGCATATTCCTTCTCTAAACAGATGAAAACACAGTTACTCCTCTATCATACTTATGCCAAGTTACTCTAGAGTAGTCAGGATGTTCCCACTATTCATGACTGTGTGCGCGTACATGTGCGAGAGACAGACAGACATAGATAGATAGATAGATAGATAGATATATGGTAGTAAGTAGAGACATTGAATACATGGCAAGCTGTAGAACTGTAGCTGATTTGAAAGTATGTCTCCAGGCAAGATCATGTATACATGAATGTTTTCCTGTGGTTGTGGAATTGGTATACAAAATGAAAGCTATTTAAGCATCAGTTCCACAGTATGAAACTGCGTGATTGGAGAAGGATTGCTGCATTTACAGAACATTTGGTGTGAATTTACATCATTGGCAGTCAGCTCATTAGTGCCCTTTAGAGTGAGCTCATGTATGTGTTTTCCAAAATTCCATGATTGTGCACAATGATGGAAGTCTGTTCCCAGGATTCATATCCATAAATGTTTATCTGGGCATTGGGTCTAAACAATTGTACAGTCTCCAAAATGGAAGGATTAGGCAGCAAGTATTTTTGTAGGTAATAATGAAGTCCTTGTCTTGGGCAAAGACTCCATTTTTGATTCAGCCCATAATCATGTGACTGCATGGTAACTGGGATCAGCTAGTTGCAAGTACTTCATAAAAAATATTGGACTATATACCTGAAGCAGGCTAACATTCCACATTAAGTACTCTGCATGCTCATACTTGCTATATGTCTGTTTTGTTTTTTCTTGCCAGATATCTAAGTTAAACCTTATAATCTGTTGTCATTCCTTGTTTCCTTTTAATGTTAGCTCTTGTGTTCTATGTGTCCTTCTTTCCATCAGGCTTACAGTCAGGAGGAAGCTGTAAGAGACACTGTGGTGTTCACAGTCAATCCAGTGGTGCTACTCCATGAAGCTTTTATGTCCCTAACATCCCTGTTTTTATCCAGTGTTCTCCTCTGCTTCTTCATCTCTATGGCCAATCATAACATTTCCCAAATAGAATTTTAGTGGTGTTGTGTATGTTCATGTGTTTCTAATTATGAAACAACAGTGGGTGTCTGTATGAATGACAGTTTTAATTTTGAACGTCAGTAGAACACTAGGAGCTTTTTATTGAAATTTGAGTTGAGTTTCCAAACTTGGAAGTTTGACATATCTGTGCCATAAAGCGTTGGCTAAAAAAATAATCTTTGTATAAAGGTAGTTGCTTATTAAAAGAGCAAAGCAGGGAACACTGGTTGGACATGTTTTGATCACACCGTTCATATTACAGGTGTTTTTTTATCTATATAAATAAAAATGTAAATGTTCCCTTCCATGAACAGCGTGCTTTATAGTTAAGGAATTAAAATACTCTGGTCTTGCAATCCCTTGAATTATAACTTGCATCATATACAGTCTTTTAATACTGTTCAGAGAGAAGGGTAGTGATAGAATAGTGAAGGAAAATGTCATAGTGTGATCTGTATTTATTCACTTACATTCAGTAACACTGTATATCTGATCATTGTCCTGTAAAAAGAAGAAGAAGAGGTGCATTTAATTTAATTTATTGCTTTATTTTAACATGTTAACATGATTCTTTAGAGTTGCTAGTACCTGTACATATTTTTAAGTGTTGTGTTGCATATGATTATTCTGCATACATGTATTGTTCTGTTATGGTCCATTGTTGAAAAGTATTTGCTAATCCATCCTGGTTATAAACATTGGACCACAAGGGGTCAACAGTGCAAGTGCCTCCTTGAAGGGTCCATAGTTTAATGCTTACATTGGAGTAAGAGCATTGTCATGTGCAGTCCCTGGTGTGAACAGATCTCTGCAATAGTTATCCCCCCCCCCCCCCCCCCCCCATATCTTCCCACATTGAATTGTGACAACCAAAGAAAGATTTGAGCACACTGTCTGAACTTGACATCCTTCAACTCTGGCAATTAATCATCAGAAAATATTGTATGTTGTTCATGTTAGTTAGGCATAGGATGAAGGGTATGAGAAACATATGCCCCACTATTCACTCAAGCATTCATATAATTCACCTGCACACGTTTTCTGTGCTACATGTCTTATCTAGTTATTGTCATTATTATGCCTGAGCAAGTTTATTTATGATACAAAAGGTAATACTGTTATGTGGCATTGAAATTGCAGGGACAATATGATAACCCCCACTGAACATACATAGTTAACAATTATGCCTGAAGGAACATGAAGAATTTATGATATAAGATGATATGATGTATTGATATGTCAGTATGTAATAGAAAGAAAGATAAGATAAAATGACAGTAAATTGTCCCTGTTCTTAATTAAGCACCACACCATGAAAATATTTACAAGAGTGGAGGTGTAGCTTCATATGTTCTTCACCTTGGCACTAGATGGTATTAAGTTGTCATTTTCTTGTTCTAGACACCAGGAAAGGGCCCCCTGTCCTCATTGGATACTGAACAAGAATCTGTCAGTGGTGGGGAAGAGAAAAATATAATATAGAGTGAAACAGTCCTAAATGACTTACCTGAGACGTCTGTGCAGAAAAGAAAATGGTGACAATATTCAGCCCAAAGTTTTTAGTTTCTGAAATTACATGAAAAGGGTTCATAGTTGTAAGAGGGTAATCTTTTGCAGCTGTGGTAAAGTGGCTGATTTTAGTTTTCCAAATACCATTTTAAATCATTCATGTGCATGTAGTTCATAGTGGAACGAAAGAAAATCACTGCACTCCATCTGTGCTCAGACTTCAAGAGAGTTGTCAAAATTTAATAGGTTTAAAATATCACTTGGATGAAGGTAGACCTATTGTCAGATATGAAATATGCGTCAGAATTATGCATCATTTTGCACTTGCTATAAGCTTTAGTGCACTCTGTGGTAATATCCAATTTATGTTATTGTACATTGTATAATTCTGGATAATTTAAATTCTATCAAAACGTAACGCTGAATTTGACTCTAATTATTTTGGTTTTAACTTCAATTCAGTGTTTAGGATGTCCTAAACTAAGTAGTTTATGGTAGCTAATTAGATTTCTCATGATCCAAAGTGTACATGCTCAAATTCAAGCATTTGCTTGATTTCCGCTCAAAAGTACAAATTATCTCATGCATTTGAAAGACAATTTTAATTGTTCTTAATATCCATCCTTCCAGTTTTATGTGTAGTTGTTGCTGTTATGGCTGTTTCCACACCACCTTTCAGAAATTGTTTCAGGACTGTTTCTGCTCACTGTAGTTTGGGGTGATGTTCTGTTAATATAGTTTGCATTGCAACAGCTGTCCTGTTCCAAACAAGTTCACAGTTCATTCACTGATAACCTTGTGTCACTGAATGACTTAATCTATCAACATATGTTTCAAATCCAGTGAATTCACTCGGCTGTAACATATCTGGCTTGTATTTGGGGATTTTGACCAGGGTAGTGATTGCACTGCCTGAGCATTTCATGATCTTTGCCTTTCCATTCAGGTACATGTTGCTTCCTCCTGTGATTTACCATACATGGTTATTCGCTCATAGAGCATCGTGCAGTAACCTATAAATAAATGTGTGTGCTGCTAATAGGAAGTGAGGAGCCAGACAGTTGTTGTGATTTGTCACAGTTGAACCCCCCCTGGCCCTGTGATGCGCTGTGCTGCATGGTCTGAGGCCCCTGTGACCACTGTGCTGTAGTAGCTGTTAACAACTAAACTGCCATCTAACTGTTGCTGCTACTAACCCACTGACCCCCCAATAACCTCAGGGAGCAGGGTCTCGATGGCAGTGGAAGCCCCCCTTCCTCCCCGCCTGCCTACCGTCGCCTCAACAGCCGTGAGGAGAATGTCTTTTCCCGCCTTACATCTGGCACCACTGGAGCAAGTGAGCAACAGATTGGCCGTGGCATCATCACAGTTTACACAGGAAAGGTGAGACACAGCAGTCACAGTTATATTAGCAAATTTGTCCAATAATGCCTAATTTCTTACAGCTCTGATACTGCATTTTCTTTTGAAATATGTGTTGCATTACTGCCATACACCTCCGCATCATCCGTTCTGAATTTCAGAATTTTTCCTTTTATTAATACACAGCTGCACTTTATTCCAAATGGTCCAGATTGCATTAAATGGATGGAATCTTTGAAATAAATCCCATATCTAGTTGCTGTTTCTGTAGACAACCTGTCCATCAATTTATTCTTACTTTAAATCACGATTTCATTGAATATATATGCTATCAACAATGGAATTTGTTTTGTTGAGACTGCAGTGCCAACTGCAGCTGAGGCTCACTCTCGCTGTTGTTTGGCAGGGTGAACCATAACTGTTATTAATAACAAGGACTTCTGCAACCGAATTAGGTCATTTGAACATGCCTCTTCCATACAGTATCTGTAATCACTTTATTTTAAGAGAATATACTTGCTAACCACGAAATGTTCAAATATCGGTTAGTGGTGTATGAGCAAAAATCAGAGATTTAATTTTGTTGCTTTCTTAGGATAATGAGAATGATCCAAAAACTTAATTGTGACCACAATTCAAAGAATTCATAATCATGGCATTTTACTCCTGACATGCATTTCTGTATGTAGCAGAAACTGGGGGAATAAGCGAGAGGCTTTAAATAGAAATTTGAATAGGTCTAAAAGTTACATTGCATGCTCAGTACACAGATTAAGCAGTGTGACTTAAAAGTAGGATGACACTCTGCATATTATGCCTTGTTCTTACTGATGTACGAATTACATGATCTGTTTTTTGGTCATTATGGTCACTGCTTGACCATGAATAGAGACTGCACTCTACATTTTATTTGAATTTATATATGAACTTTTATATGACTGACTCCATGAAACAAAGTTCTTCTTGAGAAGCTAATAGTCTTTTAGCTACTCAAAAAATTGTCCACCTTTTATAGAACCTGAAGGTTCATTCCCATGGTCACAAGGGCCTGCCACTGGACCCTATCCTGAGCCAGGCTCATCCAGTCCACACACTCCCATGCTCTTTCTTTAAGAGCCATTTAATATTATCTTCCCACCTGTGCTAAGTTTTTTTCAAGATATATGTCCCCTTCATGTTTTCTGACCAAAATTGTATATGCATGATTTATCTCCCATGCGTGCTACATGCCACACCTGTCTCCTCCATGACTGCACATTTATCAACTTGATGGTTACAGTTATATGTCTCTTCAGTATGTAATTCTTGAAATTCTCACAACCCTATGGACCTTCACGGCTTTACCCTTCCCCCCCCCCCAAAAAAAAGAGACTAAACATTATACATATCGCATCTTCTTCATCTTGAACTGTTTCTGTTATTATGATGATTCAATTACAGAAAAGAAAATCATGTTTTAATACTTGGGAGTTGATATAACATGGTGTTATGTGGCCTTACAGCTGGAGTATATTCTATATTATTTTCCCTCCTTCTGAAAATTCAGCTTTATATTGTTAAATTATATATAATGTAAAATTATTTTTTAATTTATATAATTTATTTTGTGAAATCTGTGAAGCTGAAATGAAGTGAGCATATAGTCTGGATGAGAGAAAGAAAGAATGCATATATAGTTTTTTCAGGTTTGCATGTCAGAAACATATGCCTGAATTAAGAATTGAAATGTATCTTTGTTAGAGAACATATGGTACTATATTAATTGTGCAGGTAAGTAAGTACTTGCGTTTGCTTGAATGACCTTATATGATGCAAATTGCATGTTCAAAAAGTGCTTGAAGTGGGATAGGGTGAGGTAGGATGTCAGCAGGGTAACCAAAAATCTTCCTTTTACCATGAAGTAGACCCAGAGTGTTCCTTGTGTTTGTGTAGTTGTCTAGGGTACATTACAGAATCCTGTCCTTGCTTCTTTTCCATTTCTAACTGTAAAGTTAGAAGGTGTGAAACAAAGAGAGCTATTTAGTTATGCAAACTTACCATCAAACAGTCCACAGACAATTCAGTGTGCTATTCCATTGCCATATATATTATAACACAAATATTTAAAAAAAAAAGCAGTAAAAAGAGAGAAAATTTCAGATTGATGTAGCTTATTCTAAACATATAATTATGTTTAAAGCCACTTCTGAAACTTTTGAACTGGTAAAAAGCATAATGCAAAAATTGTAATTATTTTTAAATTTAAGAGGTTCACAAATTATATGCCACCATTATTTGAAACTTAACCAGTAATAATTTCTCAACCTATTCTTCGTTTCTAGTTGGATTTAGAAAAACCACCTATCATCTGCTATCTTCAACCTTCCATTCCTGGTGAAAGTTGGCTCTTACTCAGTACATTTTGATGAAATTTGGTGCAGAAGATCTACACTAAAATTTGTCAACCAAATTTCATCCTTAGTCACTGATAACTATCAGTGTACACAAATGACCATTGTCTCTTTCATCTCAGGCCTTTTATGTGTATCTGATGAAATATGGTGTTATTAACTTACATTAAAATTTGTCCCAGAAGTTTTATTGTGAGCCGCTATGTCTCTCAATATTGCCATTTTGCTGTCATGAACATGCCCACATGTGGTATGCTGTATGATTTTCCAATATTTCTCCCCTTTCAAGCATTGCATACTAACGTGGTAGTATGTCATAAAATCACAGTAATGTTTATTTTAGGTGTAATTTTTGCTGTGTTACTGTATAACCAGTGTTTTCAGATATATTTACAGTAATTATTTGTGGCATAAATGTGTTTCAGTATTTCATAGTATGCATAGTTGGTTGTGAAACAGTTCAACAAGGTTAAAGTAAGAGACAGTGCAATCTTTGTTTGGTGTACATGGGCCAGGTTCCAGCGAAGGCACCATTGCTGTGCACTCATGTAGCTGAGGGACATTCACGTGCTGTGCTGTCTGTTTTTGCCACAGATGACCTCCTTTTTAGTGCATCTAAAGGTGAGTTCTCTATATATCCCATCTTCTAAGAATGGCCATAGCTCCTTGTGCTACTTTGCAGTTAACCATAATCACATTAATCCATGCTTCATTGAATGTAAGGTGAATCCATAATTTGTAAAGTCTGATTACATGACTAGAAATAATTCTTTATAATTCACTCTGCTTGATTTTAGGTATTATTCAATGAATTAATACATTGTAGATAGGACTCAGGCTGTCATTTTTGAGGTTTTAAGTGATTTTCCTCAGCCATTCTAGACAAATGCCGAGATTAAGCTTCAACTACTTCCTTTCACGTCCTTTAGAATTCATTATTTACTATTGTTTGATCCTGTATGAGTGAGCTGGGATAGCTCTATCTGTATAGTGACAGGCTACAGGCTGGACAGCCAGGGTTCTATTCCAAGCAGGGGTAAGAGATTTTTCTTTTCTCCACAACATCCAGACTGGCTCTGGGGTCCATCCTATCCAATAGGTATCGAGGGCTCTTTCCTGTCAATTGAAGTGGCCGGAGCATGGAGCTCCAGCTAGTTTCAAGGTCAGGAACAGCAGAAGTATACCTTAACTCCCTGGTACTTCTTCATGACTTGTTCCTTAAGTAATAAAGATCACAGACAACATTACCGTTGTAGTTATATTTTACTAAAATTTCGTGACAAGCAGCAATCGCTCGGTCTGTATAGTTCGCTTGTGGGCTAAAGCCACGGAGTTTGTTTGTTTTTACATTTTACTGTCATTTGATCCTATTTTCTCTGAGCTACTGAGAGCATCATTATATAAGCCAAAAATAAACAATACAAAAACAATACAAACCAGTGAAGCAGAAGGAATTAACTGTTTGGAGGAGAAGGTTAATATTCGCCAAAGAGCTCGTTTGCCAACAGAAACAGTATCAGGGATATTTTTAAGCCTGTAAATCACATCAAGTTAAAGTAATTGTTTGCAGATATGTTGTTTTACATGCACAAGAACACAGAAAATTTCATTTGTGTAATTAAATGTACCATCTTTAAAAATTAGAGACCAGTTTCAAAATAATGTTTTAACTTATTAATCGGTATGTACTGTGGTGATCATCTCGTCTGCAGGCCGTATAAAATCATGTGTAATGAGAGGATCATAATTAGTGGTGAATTTGGAGAGGTTTGAAAAGAGGCACCTATGACTGTACACTAAGTCCTTAGACTACGTGGTTATTTTTTTTTTCTGAAGATCTCCTAGTAAGTTTTAACCTGTGAAGAGTAAGTCAAGCTGAGGTTACTACCTTCTTCTGCTGGTTCTTGATTGATGTACTCCTTGACCCCAAAGGTGGAGGTATTGTATTCCTCTGAAATGTCTCTCTCTCCAAACTATATGACATTACAACCCAGAGGGCTATACTCTTCATAATTAAAATTGTTCACGAATAGTTTGGTAACATCATATAAAATCTTTTGTATCCTAATTTTAAATTTCCTGGGCAAGAGTTAATCAGTATCACAAAAGCTAACTGGAACATACATACATAGATTGAGGCCTGATAATTCATCTAAGGTCCTGTATTATTTTTTAACAGGGCACATTTCTTAGCCTTAACAACAGTAGCCTCATTCCTATAAGAATCCAGCACTTACTGTATAGTTGTCTGTCCCTTGTTACCAGACCGCAGTGTGAAGGTGTGGGACCTGCAGACTGGACGTGAGATACAATCTGTGTTTGGACATCCCAATAATGTAGTTGTTGTGAAGTATAATGAAGAGTCACGTCTCGGGTTCTCCGTCTCTTCAGCATATATACGGGTGTGGGATCTCCGAGAAGATCCAGTCAAAACAGTCAGAATCTTATGGTAGGCAGAGTCTGAAACACAGTTCAGTTTCTTTCAGTATCAATTTGAAAGTTTTTAAGGAGTTATCTGTAAGATACATGCTTAGAGAACTGATAATATAAAAGTCAGTTATATTAATTATGAATATGTCAGTCTTTTAGTATATTATCTTTTGTAATAGTAATTTTCTAGTTCCAATAACAATTGTGTTTTGTACAAATCTGCACTAAGGACATCTGGGATAGTGCAGGAGAGAGTAATTCTTTCATCTCCTGCCCTCCCCTGCATGATTTTTTCCATGTGCAAATACAATAAAATGACAGTTTAATGCAGGGAAGCCTTCTAGGGTGATTGACTGGAGTGAAATTCCAGTCTTTTGGACACTGTCTCTGACTTCATCATCAGGAACTGATGTAACTATTGATGCAGCTCTTTGCTTTGCATGCACACATGTACACTCGCACACAATTACTCTGTTTCTCTTGTCTTATTGGCCTGCTCCCAGACAGGAACACAAAGGAAGATTTCTTTTTTCTGGGATATAATGCTGTGTAGTCTAGCGAAGGAACATATTGCCTCCATTTTCATGGCTGAAGAATAAGCCAAGAAAGAACCCAGCATGAAAGGGGCAGGAAGCAAAACAACATGGTGTTATATCCCAGAACATTTGCCTCTTCATAATCACTGCTGTGAGAACCTCAGATTCAGGAAAATGACAAAGGATTAAAATGTCATCTGACCAGTTGCAGAACTTTATCAGAGGTTATGAGTGACAGTTGAAAATTAGTTTTACTGAATTTTCATTATCCAGCATAACAATTTTTCATCTTTATATCCTACCTAGGCTGTTTTATTCAAAATGACCCATCAGGTAATGCTGTTTCAATTACAGTTGTGCCAGTTTATTGTGAAATTAGGGGTTTCTACATGAAGCAACTGTTTGTGTACTAAGTAACTGCTTAAATAAGGCCGCGCCATAGCTCAAGCAGTTAGTCGCTGGTTTCTCACTGCGGTGGCCCGAGTTCAGTCCCGGGTCTGGTCATGTGGGATTTATGATGGACAAAGTGGCGCTGGGGCAGGTTTTCTCCAAGTACTCCAGTTTCCCCTGCCAATCTTCATTCCACCAATTGCTCCACAATCACCCTCACCTATCATCTGGGGCTGGTACAATAGGCCAGAAGTGGCCGCAGTACAAGGGACTTAGTCCCACCCCACTAGCAATAAAAAAACTGCTTAAATAAAATGCAGACTTTTATTCAGAAGGAGACAGTTCAAAAGCATAATCTAAATTTCATAAATTTATAAATTTACTTTTATAGACTTCTTTGTAACTTTCATTTTATAAATCAGTATTTGAAAGTAGAGTGAGGCGAATAAAATCGCATTTTGAACACCGCCACCTTCCCTAAACCATCTTTATAAACTTTTAGAGTACTCATTCCCAGTGTGTGTACCATGACGCATTTATCTGTCCCAAAAATGTCTAAGTTTAATCTGTTTGTCTTGCAACAGTTTAGATCCATGTGTTACAGAAATATGCTATTCTCACTACATGTGCTGCAACTTGAAGGCTGGGACTCTCTTTGTTAAAGACTTTAGCATCTTTTTTTTTTTTCAACAGTTCGTCCGGCCTCACATTGTCTGGTGGCTCAAATATCTCTCAGTCTCTCCCAGCAGGAGAGATCCAGCTCAACGATGTGTCACTGAACCACTATGGGACTGTTCTTTACTCTGCTGCTGGTGACAGAGTCCGTGTTTGGGACCTCAGAAAGTGAGTTTCCAGTTACATACCTAACATAGATAGACTTGAAAAGATTCTGACGATGATGTATACTGTACTTCTTTTGGCTTATTTTGGACTTCATCCATCGTCTGGTATGTAAAAGACAAAAGACCACGACGTTTCAGAGACTGGATCTGTCTCCGTCCTCAGGTGGATGGGGCAGGATAAACTGGTCCAGTGACTGAGACTAGCTCTTTCTAACGGGCCCAACTGTGTAGGTTTATCCTGCCCTACCCACCTGAAGACGGAAACAGATCCAGTCTCCAGAACATCGTGGTCTTTTGTCTTTTACATACCAGACGATGGATGAAGTCCAAAACAAGCCAAAAGAAGTATACCTAAAAGGTTTTTTTTTTGTGGGCAAAAATTTGTTTTCTCTTCATTTCTGCATGTGCTACCATGTACTCACATTGGTGAGTTTTTAAATTTCCTCTTTTTTCCATTTATTTTGCTGCTTGGAAGTATAAATTATTTTCATAATTTAAACATGTAAGCATTCATAATGTCTGTGTTTTCCAGCTAATACAGTGTGACGGTACTCAGCCTTTTAAGCACACATCAGTGTGTATCATAGTATCCATTCTGACAATATAAAATTCAGTATGAATTCTGGAATATAACGGTATATAGTCCATTGAAAGTCAGCCTACATTTCAGAGGGAAATGTTGCTTCCATCTTCAGGGTTGAAGAATAAGCTGAGCAAGAAACCATGGTGAAAGCAGATGGTAAGCAGAGCAGAACTTTCATGCTGTATTCTTGCTCAGCTTATTCTTCTGCCTTGAAGATGGAAGCAACATTTTCCTCCGAAACATCAGTTGACTTTCAGAGGACTACATACACAGCTCTTCATAACCACCACTGTGGGAACCTCAAATCCTACATATGATTGAATATTTATTTTCCTAAATGCAGATTTTTGTGAAAAGAAAGATTTAAGACATTTAAATTTCAAGTGACAGTTCCTTTCAGTTTGCATTGATTGACTTTATTGTCTTCTGTGTATCTTAAAATTACCTTTATTTGTCACATACTTCACATTTTCCACTAAGTCAGGTTTTGGAGGAAGTATTTATGCTGAGCTTCTAAGTTTGATACATGAAGTACGTCAGTTATTACCTATAATTTTTCTAAATTGTGTTATAGTTCATTTCTTTAGTAAATTGAAAATATTTTAGAGATTAAAACTCAGGATGGAAACTTTCATATGTTCTACATATATGAGTAATTCTGGTCTTTTTATTTTGTTCAATACACTCTTAAATTGTAATACCGTGAGATAATATTGAAGTCAGATTTTAAAGGTATGATAACTGTAAAATGTAGATACTTAATCTCCTAATTCAGAACCAGTTCTGCCTTTCTGTCTACAGGATTTGTACTTCATAAAATCGTTTTATAAAGAATTCTTAGTTGTTGGCCCAGAGAATCAGTACGATCTTACAGATTTTTTTAAACAATGTCAGTGAAAAACTATAGCAAATCTAGTGAAATTTTTATGTCTAGTTGTAATTATTTATCTTTGGTTGTTTATATTACAGAAAATTGTTATAAAGCAGATATCTAAGAGGCAAAATCAAATGATTAATTTATGAAGTGTAAAATATCTATTGCAGAAGTGTCTGCTTTTCACATAGTATGTTAATGCTCTGAACTGTGATAAATAAAATAATTTCAGAAGCACTTCTTGTTGAAGTCAGAAGGAACAGTTAAACATGTGTTACTTCATTTTACCAGCATTTCATCTTTTAACTTTTCTTCACTTTTTCTAAATCTTTCCTCACTAACTGGATTATTTCTTCCCACCAGTAGCAATGAGAGCACATTGATTTCTCTAGTTCCTGACCTACATGCATGCCAGTTTCCTGGGTCGAGGCAGCTTTAAATAAACTGAATTGCTTTTGCATGTATAGAATGCCCTGTAAGAAGGTCAGGCCCACTAAACACATAAAACAATAAATGCTCTCTATAAGACACATAAATGAATACTGTATTAGTGTATAGGTTCTCAAGTGTTGTAATATCATGGTTCCCAAAAATAATGCACAAATTTACATAACCCCACCCCCATAATTAAAGCTATTGATGTTAAATAGTCTGACACAAGTCCAAAAAGGAATATGTTACATGGGGATAAAGATCTTTAATCATTTGCCACCAAAAACCAAATCTATATCTAATGACTGGAAAAATTTTAAAATTCAATTGACATCATTTTTATTGCAAAACTCTTTTCATACATGTGATGAATTCTTTAGTAACAAATTTGCTTAGAAATAAGGATAATAGCATAAACAATTTTAATATTGCATAATTTTATGTATAGTGATGTAAGACTGTTTTTTTATATAAATTTAACACATGTTTTTTATCTATTTTAATGATTATAAACTGTATATATATATTTATATTTGTATTGTACTATATTAACTATGTGACTGGTTCTATATCTATGTATATGGATTTATGGAATATACAATAAATGAATGAATGAATGAATGAATGAAAGGTTAAAAACAGGGTAAAGTTGTCCCCATGCTTAAATGATTAAGCACTACACCATGAAGGTATATGGAGATGTGGATCTATAGACCTACATTTTCTTGATCTCGGCACTAGTTGTGGGTGAGTGGTGAGCTTCACACCGCAACCACTTTACCCCCAGGGAACCTGTTGATGTACTTGGATTAATGAGAGGTGAATCCATCATATATACCATAATCAGTGTCAATTGCAGCTGCATTCATCAAAGCATTTATATCAGTAAATTTTTGTGTAATTATTTAAATAACAATTCTTGGTACGTTTGAGATTCCTGTGTAAGCAGGACTGCATTTGAGGGTGTTTGCATTTTCCATCCTCATGCCTTCCAAGATGTCACTTGTATGAAGATATGAAAGACCTTTTTTTCTGGCACAATTTAATTAGTAGAGAAAATTCTGCTAGTTAAAGGAATCACATGTTTATCACAGTGTACCGGCTCATATATTTATGTAATGTAAAGTAATTATTGTTAAGTAATTGTTTATAGAGCCCCCTGAAATGACCCTACTTTCATAATGAGAGTTACATCAAACACATTTCTGCCTTATTTTCAATTGGTCATCAGAGCCCTACTTTTCTTCGTACAGGTTCGAATCAACTGGCAAGTTGAGTGGGGGCCACCAAGCAGCAGTAATGTGCCTTGCTGTTGGAAAGTTGTCAGAAGATGAGGATGTGGTCATTACAGGCTCAAAGGACCATTACATTAAGGTGAAATTTCTAGTTGTCACATGGTAGGTGTGGCAGTCGTTCTGCTGAACATTTCCTTTCATTGGAATGTTATCAGAACTGCATACAGTAACCTTCAGTATTAGCATGTGTTAATTGTTTGAATGTGTATGTCCCCATGCTACATGCCTAATTAATTCTTGAGAGACTCTAAAAGAAAGTGAAATTTAATGACTGAAATAATGAGAACCGCATACTGTAGGTGCACATTGTTGTGTTGTAGGTGTTTGAGGTGAATCATGCAACAAGCACCAATGTTTACTATCCTAAGATGAATCTCAATCCACCCCATTATGATGGCATCCAGTCCCTTGCAATCCGAGGCGATGTTCTCTTCTCTGGCTCTCGGGACATGTGTATAAAGAAGTGGGATCTTTCAAAACAAGAGCTTATTCAGGTCTGTATGGAGTTCTACACATCTTCATAATATCTTGCTGTAATATGTATACTCATTCTATTCCAAAAAAGGCTTCCATGTTAAATTTTGTTAATTAAACTTTTCTTCAACTCTCCATTTCCACTTATAAATAATTACAGCTTCATTTCTTATATTTGGCTTACTCTGATGTGTGTCTCTTATGTCTGTTTTGTTGCACCTTCTCCTTTATGTATGGTTTTGTATCTTCATATGTTTTCTCTGTGATGGTGTACTGTTATTTCAGTTCAAATGAAATAGTATATAATCATAGTCTCATCTATGGATGAGGATTTCTTTTTTGCATTCTCTCTAACTATACAACGTACTCAGCCACAAGAGAAGGACACATCACAAGACGCAGTATACACAAAATATAGGAAGAAGGACTCCCATAGCGGAAGATTGATATAATACGCGAGTTTGAAATACGACATATGAGATGATAAATCTTAACAAAATTTTAATATATAAATTTTATTATAGTACGTGATGATTATACATTTTAAATCATTTTCTAAATGACACATGATGGCGAGCAGTGCAATAGTTTAACATAAATAACACACCTGAGGATGGCACAGTGATGCCAAAACATGTAGTGAAGTGACAAGTGAGATTGTGTGCACTAGAAGACAGTCAATACATACACATCATGGACGTGAATCAGTGCAACGGGACGCTAAAATGCAACATTATATAAGAAAATTAAATTAGTATCCTAAATCAGAAGACGTTTCCATGATGATAAGCAGGTTCAGTTTCAACGGTGAAGTTTTTCACTTGAACTGAATGATTCACCATGCAACACATTTTTTGTAGGCCATAAATTCAGTCAGTTTGCTCTCTTCATTCTTGTCTCTGAATAATGTAAATTAGCATGACATTCTGCAGCGTGAAAAGTGACCTGTGTACATGTTTGTCTATACAGTCATTGAACAGTGCTCACAAAGACTGGGTTTGTGGGTTAACATTCATGCCTGGTGGACAGATGATTCTGTCTGGCTGTCGTGCAGGCATGGTGAAATTGTGGGCTGCTGACTCCTGCCATCTGCTGGGAGAAATGAAAGCCCATAGTTCACCTATCAATGCCATTACAACTAATTCTTCACATATCTTCACAGCCTCCAAGTAAGTTATTAGTTTCTTTTTGTTTCTACCATGAGGTTTACAAAATATGCAAATATAAATGCAAAGGCCATTCGGAAAGTAACCTGCAGTGGTCTGTTAACAAAACAAGCTGTGAGAAAAAGATTTTATTGTATACAAAAAATACATACATACTTACGCGACGAGGGGCATGTGGTAGCGTCGTTGGTTGAGGAACTATGCTACAAGCTGGAAGGTCGCAGGTTCAAGTCCTGATGAGGTCATTGGATTTCTTTCAGTTGACCTAATCCTTCCTGCTGCACTATGGCCCTGGGGTTGACTCAGCCTCTAACAGAAATGAGTACTAGGAATGTTCTTGGAATATTCTTGGGGGTAAAGGGCAGCCGATGTGTAAGGCTGACAACCTTGCTGCCATCAATGAGCCAATTATCTAGAAAATGTGGGAACCTCAACATCTCACAACCCTGTGGGCCTCCACGGCCTGTTACAGGGATACCTGTACTTACTTATTTACTTAAGCAACTGCCCAGCATAGTCACTGTCAGATTTGAAGTACATGTCATTTTGGGAAATAAGTTTTGTCAAAGAAGTCTGCCACCTGTGAGCTCTGCCACATTTTGACTCTTTCCATTAGCTCCTCATTATTGTTGAGGCACTCTGAGCACAACCAGTTCTGCATGTAGGTAAGCAGATGGTAGTCACTTTGAATGGGATCAGGGTTGAAAAGGAGGGTTGTCAAACTGCTCCAGCAGTGCTCTGGTGTGAGCAGCTGTATGCAGACACACATTATCATCGAGGATCATTCCACGCCTTTTGTTCTGAATGGCCTTACATAGTGTTTTTAGTTTTTTGCAGTACACTTCTGACATTACTGTGGTCTGTTGTAGCAATAATTCCACCATAAACACTCTTTCCTGTCCCAGAAAACAAATTTCCACTGGATTTCTGTTGGGCAACGTTTATGTAAAATATTTGGCTTGTTTGGTGAACGTGTGTGCATCCATGGCTTTGACTTCTGACTGCTCTTTGGTTTTAGCATTCACAAATGAAACCCAGATTTCATCACCTGCTACTTGTTCAATACTTTGGAAATTTATCGCCATCTTTGTGGTATTGCTCTGAAAAAAGTCAAAGCTGAAGTCATTCTCTGTTTTGTGCACACCCATGAGCATTTTTATAACCTGTCTTGCGCAAAACTTGTAATAGTCTAGCCTATCTCTGATAATCCCTTAGAGGACAATGTGTGAAATTTGTGGAAACTCACACTAAAGTTCTGAAATTGTGAAATGCCATCTTTCAGAAATTGTTCAGTTAACACTTTGAACAAGATCATCACTCTTTAATGAACTGTCACAACACAGCTAATAGTAAAACATCAAAGTCAGCGTTCAGCTGTGGCTTTGCTACATGTTTCGGCCACTATCGGCCATCATCAGGCAAATACATATCAACAAAAATCTACCATTTAACTGCAATCATAAAATGGATATAACACTATTAAACATACAAATTTAAAAATGCTTATGTAAAAAATACAAAAGTTCAGATTATATAATAATTAAAAATTGGAAGTATTATAACAAGGTAAAATATTAATGATGTTTTCAAAAACATTTAATCAGTCGTTGGATATACTTTGTGTCGTTGTTTGCTTTCCATGCAGTACGGACAATTCTTCTTAATGACAAGGCAGCATTACACAGTTCATTAATTGCTACACAATGGGCCTCTCTTAAAATCTTCTATATAAAGTAATATCGAATTTCCCTATTGTCTATGGAAACGCACACAAAGTATATCCAACGACTGATTCAATGTTTTTGAAAACATCATTAATATTTTATCTTGTTATAATACTTCCAATTTTTAATTATTATATAATCTGAACTTTTGTATTTTTTACATAAGCATTTTTAAATCTGTACGATTAATAGTGTTATATCCATTTTATGATTGCAGTTAAATGGTAGATTTTGTTGATATGTATTTGCCTGATGATGGCCGATAGTGGCCGAAACATGTAGCAAAGCCACAGCTGAACGCTGACTTTGATGTTTTACTATTTACTGTGTTGTGACGGTTCATTAAAGAGTTGTATATTGTAGCACAGCAGGATGCATGAAATTAAGATCATCATCACTCACTACAGATGGCCGACCGACCACTTCACTCTTCATCGTGAACACTTGTTCGCCTGCCCATCTTTGGTCATTCTACACCATTGTCTTACAGTTCCGTCACACCTTACATTTTGGCCATAAACCACCACACATAATCAAAATGGTTTTCTGCATCACACATGCTTTTAGCATGAAGACAGTGGATGACAGAACGAATTTCACAGCTGGCAGGATTATCAGTCACAGGACACATCTTAACTCACTCTGTAGAGACAAGAATGAGCACTAGGTTACCAGTTATATGATGGTTTACAAGGCAGTGAGTCATGTGATGGTACCTCACATGTGCTGGCTCTCCCCCACTCCTACATTAGTTGCCTAAAATAAATGGAGATTACTTTCCAAATAGCCCTCTTAGATATGAATATGACTTATTTTCTAAGCACATGTTTTAATAGTTCACAAACTGCAAACAGTGCGTTAGTTGATACAAGTTGGACATCCCTGAAAAATTAATCCTGTGACATCAGCAGAACGTTCTTTTAATATTCTTTGATTTGAGGTTTTCCTTCATACCATATGCAGTTTCAGTGTTTCCAAGTAAATATTCTCAGTGTTAAATTTCCTCCATGTAAGATTTTCCTGAATTTTCTGTTCAAATCTGCTGCTCCCCAAATGAATTTTAAATGTGCTGATTTCACTGTACTCAGGTTATATGTTAAAATGTGAATGCATTTAATCAGTGTCATCTTCTATGTTTAAAGGAAAGTATATTAAAAATAAAGTGCTCTTCTCACTGAGTATGGTCAGAAGCATTTGCTAACGATGCCTGACAAAGTTATGTTGATCCTATAGTCTAAATGTCTCCATTCATAAGTCACACAGCACTCCAATATCCTCTCAGTATGAACTCTAACAGCACACCCAGTTTTTATGGTATTGACATTTAGTTGGCCATGGAAAGAGAATAGAGTTCTTAAATTATTTATTTTTATAATTGAAATCTGCAGAATATGTAAATTAGTGGGCTAGAATTGTGCCAATTTTCAAAGAAGCAGGTTATATTTCTCTCTGGCCTTGTACTAATAAATGTATGGTGTCATACTTTTGAGAGAAGTGCACATTTGTGGTATTTAAGTATTTGGAAGGACATATTGTTACTAACTGAATACAATTACTTTAACATACTGTGTTTTCCTTCAGCTGTCTTTTAAAATCTTACAGTCTCTCTTTATATATTTGTTCAGTTTGTGTGTGCTTGTTTTGTGGTTTGTTACAATGTTAAACAAGAATGTCATTTGCATTCTTATTTTAGTAGAACATGATGTTTCATTTTTTGAATAGTTGCATCCAAGTGACACAGTTGAGTGAGAACTATACTAGTATGCATTTACCGTGTATATCATGTATCATTTTACATTGCATGGTGTTTCTGCACTCAGATGGTATTCTTTATTGTTCAGAAGCACAAACAGGTCTGCTGGCGTGTTCATTCAATGGAATTATATGTGTTTGTTTTAATTTAGTAAACTGAGTGGAATGGAATAATGATACGTAACTTATGTTGACGTAAACACATACAAAAATGTATCTTTAAGTCCTCTATGAAAAGTATAGGACATTGAATTACAGCTATAATACATGAAGGATTCTGATTTTTAGTTGCTGATGTAAAACAGTTACGATAATGTGAGCACAGACTTCATTTTAAAACAGTTTTTGTGAAAATTATACCTAGTTTTGTTTTGCGCTGTTCAGTCAATTTTATGCAGATTAACACAACTTTATTTTTAGAGCACTTACAACATATTAATTTTTAGACACATCAGAATTTTCTATAGATCATTTAATGATATATCAGACATAAGCAGTCATAGTTGGCTGATGGTAGTGATTTAAAGTACAAATACTTAAATCCAATGATGTGCAAGATGAAGGCTGTGTCTTTCTCTGTGGGACCTTGTCTGTATATCTGGTTGCAGTTCTGGTGAAGTGAAGATCTGGAAGTCCCCGCAGTGTTCTGCAATGACAATGTCAACGGGTCGAGTGTTTGAACTCTCGCTGTGAAGCCTTTCACCTATCAGTCTATCCCATATATCATGGATTGCTCTGTTGCAGCTTCTTTCCCTTGTTCCACCCCTCCTGATATATTAACAAATGCAGGATTCTCTTTGTCCATAGAAGAGGCATGTTTGATTCCATTTTACTATCAGCAGTGGCAGTTAAAAATGGAAATAGGTCACATAAAATAATGGCATAACATGAGAATGATATATAATCTTATAGGAAAGTATATCACTGTTTCATCTGCATTCTCAAACTTGTGTTCAGGGACAGTTTGCAAAATGTGGTCTTGGTAATGAATTGCAGAATTCTGAAATTTGTGTCATTGACTGCATCAGGAAAGTGAATGATAGTTAATAAGCTATTATTATTATTATAATGAATCCAGCAGCTCAGATTAAATCATATGACTTATTTGTACATAATGATATACATTTGACTGGGTCAAAGAATGTTTCAGACTTCTTAAGCTATGATTTCTCCTTTAGCCTGTTGTTATTCAGAATTAATTCTGAAACAGTGGATTAGTCTGTAAGGCATGCAGTAGGATTCCTTGGACCATCAATTTGTCATCATAAAACTTCTACCAACATAGGAAAACAGTATCCTCTTCTCAGCTGGAATCTGTGATCTCAATATTTGCTAATGACTCAAATATATGATAACCAGCTGTTAGTTAAAATGAATACAATATTTCAATGTTATTCCTTCTTTAAAATTTTAGGTACTATATAATGTGATATTGATAAGGAAAGGAACTATATCCTGGTCAGAGATTGGATACTTCTGCTAATCTTGACATAAAAGCCCATAATAACATACAGAACATTTCCAGACATAGCTAGTGGTCATTTCACTGCACATTACCTTACTCTCTGATCAGCCTGAATGTACTGTGACGTATTTGCGCTATGCAGGACACCCCCTCCCCCGCCAGCGGTGATGTAACACCTTCAAAGCATTGCCGCTGCTGCAGTAATAGGCCAGTCAACACCCCACCCCCTCCCGCGGTGACATAGTGGAGGATGACGCGGTTGCTACAGAGCAGTAAACAACTCTCGACAGTGTTGCTAGGCAACCTGTAAACATGGCGTCAGGCAACAGCGGTACCTATCACATAACCGTTTTCTGTCTTGTCCGTGCCGAGGCTAAATAAGGAGCAGCGAACACTATTCAGAGTTAGTTAGTTAGTTGAGTTTCAATGTAGCGATCGCCAAGTTCAGTGATTATTGTGTATTGAGCCAGTTACTAGAGAGGGAGTAACCAGTCAATTGCTGTCTATCTTTCGCCGGAGTATTTGTGATACAGGCAATGGCAGTAATGTTGAGATTGTATATTGTGTGATTGTAAGAGCGAGTGGAATAAATTCGCTATATCAAATAAGGCGTGAAGTTTTTTGTCGCCTGACATATACCCAACACGTGACACTATTTTATATTGCTGAAAAGAGGTCCAGTATGGCAGCCATATTTCTGGAAAGTTTGGTTTGCCATGGAACTTAAGGAAACAAAACAGTTAGGTCACCATATTTCTGCAGTTCTTGAATTTTCTGGTTTCTGAGCAGCCTAGTCCTAATTGCATATTAACTTTGTTTGGTGTATCATAGCATGCAAATACCTTCTAGTAAGATGTGAGTTTTCATCCATAGGGACTCTTACAAATCTTCAGCCTGTGTACAAAGTAAAGGGAATTATTTCAGAACCCAAGCAAGTGATATGCTTATGAAGTGATGTGAAATTTAATGCAGAAAGTTTTACTCTAAAGATGATGGGAATGAAATACAGCTGTAATAACACCATTCCTATTCATAAATTTACTAATCAATATGAAAAGCTCTTTGTTGCCTTTGAAGTCTTATGAGCATTGTATGTAGAATAAGACCTCACGTTCCATGCTGAAGAAGACTGACTTATATACGTGTGATTGTATCGTTATACTCTGATCTCAGGCATAGTTTTGGTGTTAGTGCCATGCATTGGCTGTTGCAATTTAGACACCTTTGCCCCTCTGGATTAATCTTCTAGTTCTCGGTGTTTCAGGACAGGATCAATGAAAATAATAATGTTCAGGAAAATCTTATTGAGGTACTAAAATTCCACTGTGAACAAGGAAGTTTTATATTAAAATTACAAGTTGTATTATGTCATATAAGTTAAAAATAGTGGTTGTTTTCTAATCAGTGTTATGAAGATATAAAATATGTTTAATGGCTGTAGATAGATGTTTGTAGCTCTGTAAAATGAAGCTGGTATGCGTAGATGGAAATGGGCATAATGTCCTAAGATCTGTCATACATAGTTCGATGATTTTCTGACTTAGAATTCTCCATGAAAAGTAAAAATATTACAGAAGTTTCACTGAATATTGTAAGAAAACTGTAGTTTCAGTTTGTGAAATGTTGCCATCATACAAACCTCAAGCCTGCCTCATATTCATGCTGCGACTTGTGACTCAAGAATTGGGCAATGCCACTACGGGCCTATGTGTAAAATAGGAATTTAGACAAGATGTGTGTTTTCATTGTCTCTTGGGGGTCTGATGACTTAACAGTGAGGAGGAGGAGGAAACTGTTTAAATCATGTTTATCCATGTCATGAGATCCTTCCATATAACTCCTCCCATATCCTTGAAAATCATTCTACAAGTGAAAGGCCAGCGATTTTCACTTATGAACATCATCAGTATGTCCCTATCAGGTGACTGCCTTCTTCTTAAATCTATGAGGTCTTTTTTGTGCATGTCCCAGCACATCTCTTCTTATTCACTTCTGCTTGTGTATTTCTTGTTGTGTTGCTACATTTCATTTTGGATTCTACTAATTTTTTATTTGTAAGATATTAATTTCAGTGTTTACACACTGTGTTAAACAATGAAATGCTTTGTTATTTTATATTCATTTATTTATAGTTTATTTAATGATGCTGTCAGTAACTCATACTACATATCACCAAAAAAATTGTAAGATAGTGAAGAATGAATTGGTAAGAATGTGGAAAAAATGCTCATGTCCTAATTTAAGGATGTGTCCCAGAATTTGCCTGAAGGGACTGAGAAAAGTCGTGAAACCCTCAGAATAGTCATTGATACAGTTGAAATTCAAACCTAGTGCCTCCCAATAAAATTGACAAGCATTACTGCTTGTGCCAACTTCCCTGTTCAAAATTCTTTGTTCTGTATTAAGGTGCATAGAAATCTGGGATTATTGCAGATAGCTATATTGTTTTGTTATTGTATTATAATAGATATTGCTACAGCAGTTATAATTACCACTTTAAATGGTAATTAATGCATATAGGTACACTGGACAACATACAGAATTTTGTGTTGCCTGCTGAAGGTTGTGGCCCTCCTATGAAATGACTCTTATTATTATGAAGGAAGAAATAAAGAGGGAGACACCATTTTGAATATGGATTTTCACTGTTAAGATTATATGAGGCTGTGTATGCCCTAATGGTCATAAGTATTTGATATATCTACAGTGTTTATTTTTAAAATATTGGAGAATTTCAGAAATATTAGATTAACTATAATTGTAAGAACAGTGTCAAATTATAATGAATAGTACTATTCACTGTTTTTAATCTTGACACTTAAACCCTTGGGTACAAGATTTGCTATAGATTTATTTATATATGATATATTTAAGCACGTGGTAGCATAGTTGGTTGAGGCACTATGCTACAAGCCGGAAGGTCGCAAGTTCAAGTCCCGATGAGGTCATTGAATTTTTTCAATTGACCTAATCCTTCTGGCCGCACTATGGCCCTAAGGTCGACTCAGCGTCTAACAGAAATGAGTACCAGGAATTAATTAAATAGTTTTCCTGGGGAGTAAAGCGCAGCCAGCGCATAAGGCTGACAACCTTACAGCCATCTTTGAGCCGATTGTCTAGATCAGCCGTGTCAAACATGCGGCCCCTCAACTTTTAGAGCTAATTGATATTAAAATCAGTATTAAAAATTTAGTAGAAATATTTTTGTAAAGATAATTTTCCAACAGACCAGAAGACAAGAAGTCTCACGCAGACATAAATTAGCAGGCTGTAGGAAATTCAATGTTTTGCTATTTCTAACCTAATTTCTTGTGTAATCTCTCTTTTTACATATTGAAAAGCTGTTTGATACTTGTCAAAAATGGCATTCTCTTGATTTTTAAAACTTAGATGTGTGACTTTAGGTAATTATATTGAAATTATTCCTAAATAATAAATAGAATTAAATTTTCCTTGTATCAAAATCTAATGTATATTTCTGTTTTGAAGTGCGGCCCTGGACTATTATTTATAGGTCTGAGGTGGCCCTCTATACAAGTTTATTTTGACATGCCTGGTCTGGAGAATGTGGGACCCTCAACATCTCAGAACCCTATGGGCCTTCACGGCCTGGTACAGGGATAGCTTTACTTTACTTACTTTATGATATATTTAACAATGCTGTCAGTAATTCTGACTATATTGTCTCATAGTGTAAGAATAGTAGTAAATAATGAACTGGAAATGATATTGATTGATAAAATGCAAACTTTCTATGCCACAAGCCACTAACACATCAAGCTACAAATGCTAACCCAGAATATGTGTCCTCTTATGTTCCTGATGGTAGAGTATATTCTGGTTTCTTCATGTAGGTTCCTTCTTGTGCTTTGGGGAAATCTTAAGGTTCTGTAATTATCTCACCTTTCTTTGAATTGTTTTCCCTTAAACTATGACAGATCCGTTGAACTGAAAGTGCTGCAAGTAGCTGTTACTCATGTTAAATGTTTAGACATCATGAAATGACTTTTATGTGTGTAAGGGATGGGCCATAAATTCTGGCCCTTGCACTGCAACCTTCATCAGCTTAGCATTTTAGTTCCCTGTATGCTTTATTTTTGTCAACATTTCAGCAACCAAAAAGTTGAATTACCCCTTGGCTCTGCACTTAATTCTGACATTTCTTGAAATGTTTACAAGGCAGACATTTATTTATATTTTACAGCTTAGTTAAGAGCTGAGATCACATGTTGTAACATTCTCCAGATTATGCAGTGATGTGTGGGATTAGAAACATTCCTTTCACACATGACTCACAAAACTAAATTTTGTCTAAGGAAGAAAATCTATTGTGTTTGATATGTAAGAACATGAAAGTTTTTGAAGGCCTGACTAATGAAGCTTCATATTAATCGTTTGAAGCATGAATTTCTCCTGAACAATATTAAAGTATTCATTTCTAACCTCACAGGAAACAAACTGAGTCTACATCAAAAAGACTAATCAGTTAATGGAGTAAGTAATTTTTTCTTATTCTGAGAATCATACAGAACACTTGAATACAATGTTTTTGGCAAAATGCGGAGTATTTTAATGTTAAATCAGGTGGTACATACAGTAAGCACTGCGTTAAAGGGTTAGAAAGACAGGCATGAAATCATTCCAAGTCCTACACATAATTTGTGTGGCCATGAGCATGTGTGCGTGCACGTGCATGAGATGCATTCAATTTCAGATCTACAGTTAAAGCAACTCGTGGCAGTTCCTGTTACCCATTTTCAGCAGGCTTCAGTAATCTGTATCTCTCTCCTTGCATGAAGTAAATAATTTCTAAGAATTTCAAGTAATTGGAACAGAACAAATTGAGACACTTTACAAACATGTTATGGAACTGGTTATGGTAAGCTAGGGAATATTAAATTTTGACCAAGAATGTTCATCTAGTTGGTGCCCAAAAAGTACTGCAAGACATGAGTTTACATGACAATCAGGATTAGTTCTTAAAAGAACGAAATGCACCAATATTAGGCGAACTCAACATACATCTATAAACTATACTACAGTAGAAATCAGCAGATTCATGAAATTAGATATGTAATGGTATATACAGTGAGTTCCTTTCAGGTGATGAAGTGAATGCTTATTTCAAAACCTGTGCGCACACCTATACAGCATGCATAGTTTTTCAGTTTCTTTTCTATTGCACATTCACTTTTCCTCATCACTGGAATGAGCCATACAGAACACTAAGCTATAAGTAGGGTTAATAACAGGTAAGTCTTGTCATTTTATGTTGGCATTGCTTCTGCCATGATTGAATACCAAGGCATCAGTGTAAGTATTGAAGTTAGTGGCAGTCTGCA